AAGAGTCTATGTTAGACTTTTCCACGTATTATAAGATTAGTAGGAGAGAAGGCCTTGGGGGAACAGTCGACCAGATTGTTCATTACTGTCAAACTCTTTGCCTCGAGCAGAGAGGAACCCGGACGAGACTTTACCGAAGGGCAAAGTTTCGTCCGGGGAGGTAGACAGACCCTGAACCGGTTTATACGGGTTCTAAGGGAATATTTTTAGCCGAGCCTATGGTAAACTCAACCTTGTGCCACATACATACCTCGTGGGAGGGATGTTAAATATAACTGTCGAATAGATTGAACGTCGTGCAAATACTCGTTTGTTGTACTTACTGTTTAATATATAGTATATCTGCAACACTTGTTTTGTTATTCCTTTATCCATTTACTTGGTCACAACATCTTGGGGCCTTCTTTCCTACTAATCTTATAGTAGGCGGAAGAGTCCAATATATACTCTTTAGAGGGAGAACACCACAATAGTAACCAAGAAACCTCTATGAATCAAATATATATACCGACATTCAAAGGTGTAATGTCGCAATTGAAAAGTAAGGGAACCATGCTGAGTTGCCGTCCAAGAGCTTCTGGAACTGCACAAAATGGATACCATCTTCCTAAGTCGGAAAATCACAGGAGATAATAATTGGGTTCTCGCAATGTATAAAAGAGTAAAGCAGGGTCAATGCAATGATACAAGTTACATTCATCCAGAAAGAAAGTGATGACCACCGCGTTTTGGGACTAGAAGAACTGAGTCATAATGTTAGAGTTTATGCTCACTGACAAACACTATCAATTCTGACTACGATGTTAGCACATGTTAAAAACTGTTCAAAATTTTGAGCTAGATCACATTTGAAGAAGAGTAATGCGTTTCTGCAAAATGAAAGTCATCACACCAGTTTAAGAAGACCAGACAAGTAATCATAGCATATGATTGAACAATTGCGCTGCATCTATACTACAACCCTGACGTAGCATTCTAAGACGGTAATCAGTTTGGATCTATGAAGAAGACACTCAGAGGACGGCAGTTACTTAATGATTAATTTAAAGAGGAGGGTCGCCTATGGCTAAATAAACAGCCAAGAACCTTCTACGAGAGGCGTATAAATGCCCTCAATCAAAGATAAATAATTCGTTGAAAATAGAGAAATGAGTGCTGAACTATGATGTAATATCAATCCTCTTATATGACATTGAATGCTGGACAATTTCCTCACAGATGAAGAGGAGTCAGAAGACATGTGGTAAAACAGGATGCTGAGAATACCATGTGAGCAACGAGGAAGTTTTAAAATGGAAACAAAAAGGATACTTATACTTAATATATTGTACTTAGAATCATAAAGAGACGGTTGAAATTTCTGAGACCCAATGAGGAAAGAAGGCTTGGCGACAATGACGCTCACGCGTTACATATTGAAGGCAAGGAGGACAGAGAGAAACGAAATAACTAACGTGCTTGTGTAAATGGGTGGCAGATGTGGGAGGAATAGTAAAAAGACAGAAGTTACTAAGAGCTACAAAAGATAGGAAGTTGTGGAGAGCTATGATCGCCCACGTCCTGAAAGAACAGGGTGCCTAGAATAAATGCGTAGGTAATAAAATGGATGCGCCGGCAAAATAACACGTGCAGACTAATTAAGAACATGAGACTTGAATACTTCCTATCTTGACTGAATTGTTGTTAGAGTGTTAGCGTTCTGATAACGGGATCCGGATTTCGAATCCCTGCACGGTCGGTTAGTCAAGGAGATGATTTCTTGATAATATAGGCCTGGGGAAACGATTCCAGCATGCAGAATCGTTTGGAAATGTCTGAAATATTGTAATTGTTCTGATGAACTTTCTACTATGGTAGCTGGACTTTATGAACATAAGCGCAGTATTAGATTGGAGGTGAGGTATTATCAGTTTACACTTGAAATGGCTAGATGTAATCGTAAGTTCTATGCTGACAGTTTCTTGTACCGCACTTTTTGTTTGTGGAAGTCTCTACAGGATTCTTGCTTCTCAGTCAAATTTGATCTTTAAAAGTTTAAATTATCGTTATCCACTGTCTTCTTAATTCTTGTTCTTTTATTGTCCTTTCTCCTTAATAGTAGTTTTCTTATATTCTCTAACATTCAGTAACCCCTTTTTTCTTCCCTTGGAAACGTATGAAACTATCTCTTCTGCCCCACACTTGCGTCCTAGCGGCTTTATAAATTTACTTGAGGTGAAATGATAAAAAAATAAAAAATAAAATAAAAATATAATGTACTTTCAGTTGTTGCGCCGATAATACGGTATACAATTAGACGGTCTGCCTGTGGATGACAATATATATATATATATATATATATATATATATATATATATATATATATATATATATATCCGTTGAAGTCTCTTGAGAAAAGGGTGGCTCATACTGCTATTAATGCATTGCTCTTCAACCGAATTGAATTGAGCTCTCCGGTCAACTGACGTATTTCGCATTGAAAAACGATAAAATTTCCCTCTCTAGAGGTAGAATCTCTGACTGATACCAAATCGGTCGTGTTTCGATCCTGGCTTGAAGCAATTGGACGTTTAGCCACTGAAGAGCTGTGATACAGCGAAATAATGTCTGTGGATGATTATATATATATATATATGTGTGTGTGTGCTACTAAACTATCTAGGGATGATGACTCTCTTACATATCTGTAGCCGAGAGCTCAAAGCACGTCAGATCTAATGACGGTTTCCAGTGAAAATTTTTCCGGACAGTAGACGAAAACAAATAAATATACTGTTTAATAAATAAATGGATCGTCTACTCAAATACGAGTAGCCACTAAAAATAACGTTTAAGTAGTAAAAAAAAAATCTGTCGGATTAATAAATCAAAATGATAAACGCACAATGAACGAATTCACCAGTCACGTGAGTTGCACAATACCGTTAGTGGAGAGCAACATTTTTATTTCCTTCCATTGTGAACGTTCGTATCAATGAGCAATAACTCTGATTTTGAATTTAGAATATAATAACTGCGCACTGATATTACAATAAAATCGTATCTTTTTAAAATGCCTTTAATGAAATTTAATAGTAAGACCAAAACAGATATTTTGATCAGAAAACAAATTTAAATAACCATCTGTTTCTATGCGCTATCACAGCGATAAATGCAAATGAGCTAAGAACTTAATAACTGACAAGCTTCACTTTAGACATTCATTTCATATTCATGTAACTATGATTGGAAAATTATTCATTCTCTAATACTGACCGCGTATGCCCGGGTAGCTGAATGGTTGTCAGCATAGAAAATGGAATCAGCGAACAGTGTTCAAATTCCCGCATAGTCAGGTTGCCTTTCTTATTAACACCCTTGAGAAAGGTATTAACTAATTTCTCCCGTCACCTATCTATTTATGTGTTAAATAGCTGGGTAGAGTGGGAGCTCACTAGACCTAGATAGTAGCCAGTCTAGGAGAAGAACTACTTTGAATTCTAGACAGTGGAGAAGGCAATTTATTTTATTTATTCCTCTTTATCAGCGCCTCTCTTTTATTAACTGACTGATTAAGGAAGCCATCACGTTTCATGTTCTTTGTGACAGCGTGCCGCATTAACAGCAGACTATTACAAGTAGATTGTAAAATATAGTTATGATTCGTTGCATTCAACTTGAAACCCAAAACAATATATAGTCACAAAATATCTTTAGACAGAAATCTGGATGTAGGTTATTAGAACTGAGATTTAAATCACCAAATTAAGAAAGATGTTGTTCTTTTTTTATTATTTTTTTTATTCACATCTTATAAAAAAGCACCATTGTTGCTTCATAAGATTTTCAAATTCTACATTATATCGTCATGGAAAGATGGCCTTAAACAATCGTTAATCATTGAAAGGTTGACTCAGAAACCAACAAAATAGAAAAGCTCGTTGCTTTTTGTTGCTGGTTTTCTATTATTTATGGGATTTCTGTGTCAACTATTACATGACAAATTCACTTTTTTAATTCAACATGAATGGCCTATTTTGTGTTTTCGGGTCAATTCAAACAATTTATGCAATAGGACACCTCTTGCACCACTTTGACAACCCACTTACCTCTTTCTTATAAAAGGTAACTTTACATTGCCATGTTATTCCATCATCAAGTTAAAGATACTAGTTGTTAGAGCATTAGCCTAATAAGTGTGTGGTTCACAGTATCATCATTCAATCATCAAATATATTTTCTTTTATAAAGTATAACAACAAACGGGGCATAAATTATATGATACAAATATACTTTATATTATAATGTAAGTATTATAAAGGCCAGTAGTTAGAACATTAGAGATCCGACCATGAGATCTGGGTTCGAATGGTCCATTTGTCAAGAAGGTGAAATCTTGATAACAACTGCCAGGGTTGAGGATTCCAGTGTGCGGAACTGTTGGGATTATCCCGGGTCGATGAAACTTGTTCGGAAGCCGTCGATAATCGTACTAGCACGATGGCATAAGTTATTTAAGCCTGGTGATCACGCCGGATTATGCGATATCTCCTAGAAACTGTAATTAATGCCCACCCAGCATAGTTACAGGCTGACTCTTTGGATGCTGAAGAAATACAAATGTGCCTGAGCAAGTATCTAAAAAACGGATTAGCTAACCACCTTACAGTGCAATATTCGGAAACAAAGTAGCCAGCTATAAAATATAAGTAAGAATAACAGTAGTTAAATATTATTAGAAAGATAAGTATTATATTCAAAAGTATATTATTCGTTGATTGATTCGTTTTTTACGGCTTATCAACCTGTTGCAGGTTATTTAAAGCCAGAAAATATTTTTAGATTACAAGATTTTTTTGGAAATAATAATGCTTTAGTCTAAGTAATCCAATGCTTGGGGTAGAAGTGCTGGATTCATACTTTTCACAAGAGTATTTATGCGCAAGTGAATATATATTGGAACTCGGCTCTCCGATCAACAATCCCGAGCCATCATCTATTACACCACCCTCACATTCAAGCTTACAGCACGTGATATTCTCAAGAGGTCACCCATCTAAGTACTGACCAGGTTCGACGTTGTTTAACTTCAGTGATCGTACGGGTACCGGTGTTTCAACGTGATGTGGCCGTAAGCCAAAAATATACAGTATAATGAAATTCAGCAAGTTGAAAATGCTATGTAATGGCAGTCGTTCAACGTCATCTAGTAAATGATGAAGGCATGAAGCAACAAAAATGTGGTTCTAACATACGGAAAATACATTTACAACAATTTTCTGAAAAACAAAGAACGCAAAAATAATTTCCTCCATTTTTTGAATAATTCCTGAAAGTTACATTAAAATCCAACAATTATTTGATTTTTGCAAGAATTTCAAAATCAATGTGTTTTTCACGTGAAAAATAGGCACGAAAACACTAAAGTAAAAATGACGACAAACAAACAAGATTTTACCAAAATTTCGAATATGCTAAAAAAAAATTAATATTTAATAAAATCATAAAAAAATATTTGTTCTTTCTTCTAAATAATAAACATTTTAACGATAAAAATTTCTTTTTATCAAGTCTGGGGCCTTTTTTCTCATGTTATGTTGTTTATCGGCGATAAAGTGGAGCTACATACACAAAAGAAATACAAGATAATATATATACAAAACACGAAGAAAAAACTTGATAAAAAATAAACTGTTATAGGCATCCACAATCTGCTTTGTAGTGGGTGAGGGTGTTTTTTTTTTTTGAAAATCGCCGGCATTTCTTGACGGCAAGATTAAGATTGAGTGCGTGAGGGTGTTTCTATGAAAATCACCACCAGTGGGACGCCGAATACAGATCAGTACTGAAGGGTGTAAAGGACGGATGAACTAAGTAGTTAACTAAGAAAGGAACAAGCACAATTATAATAAGATATCTCATAAAAACACACACATATATATATATATATATATATATATGATATATATTATATGACGTATAAAATTATATATATGATATATCATATAATATATAAATATCTATTATATGACTGGATATTCTTCAAAATCCGTATTAAAAAATATTTAGAATACTATTTTTTCACTTAATACACAAACTTCTAAAAGGCTGTTTAAGTCCAAAAACAAAAGAAAACAGTATTGTAGGAACATCGGTGTTATTGTATAATGTATAATGTATAATCCTATTATAATTGTACCTGTCCCTCTCTGTGTTACTTCACACGACCGTTACGCCTTGCCAATACTTCATAAATAATAAATTATTCCATTTTGATCGCGTAGGAAGAGGAAAAAGATACTACTTTCCTTCAGTGAGAAAATGAAAGAAAGAAGCGAGTTAAGATAGAAATGGAGAGAGACAGAGAGAATCGGATTAAACTGATGAGAACAAATACTACACTTTGATCTTGGTCAAATGGCCGAGAAACGATTGTATTTTCACGCAGGCAGGATGTGACACAAGGTCAGTTTAATGTGAGGAGCACAAAAATAGACCTACTCCCGCAACCATCGGTTATGCTGGTATCGGTATAACTACCGATCCCACCTATTTAATGCAATGAGGGAGGTACCAACGCGGGCAGCTGTTTCTCAAAACTGGGCAGCTCTCAATAATATTTTCAGTTGCGTCTCCGTCTGCAGAGTAGGAGGCAACTGAGAGATGAAATGTAGTTTATCCGCCCTAGGGCAGATACTACACTTTGATCACAACCAAAAGGCCAAGAGGCAGTGGCGACCGCGGAACACACACACACACACAAAAAAAAAAAAACAAAAACAAAAAAAAAACCGGCATTTTTCAGACGCACAATATCGAACGACGGAAAAAGCAGAGTAACGACGAGTAAGGCAATTGTTAAAAACCTACTTACGACAAATAAAAAAAATTATTATTAAGAGAAATTTTTGTAAGACGTTGGATGTGCCTAGTAAATATTATTTATTATTTATTTTAAAGCTTTGATAATGAGTTGTGAAAAGTATTGCAATTGGAGCCATTTTATATTGCCTGTGGAAAAAAAGGAATGAGTGCAAGGGCAGTGACAAAAAATAATGATGTGGAAGGCCCCAAAACTGTCAGTGAGCGTGTGGCACAAAACTGGTTCAGATTTTTCAAGTAAGGTCACACCAACCTCGAATATAAATCATTTTCAGGGAAACATGCTTATAACGGTTGAAGAACAGCCAAGCACAAGCACTCGTACATTGTCGGCAGAATGTGTTCCTTCACAAAGCACTATTAATCGACACCACCTTAAACTTGACCTTGCGAACAGACGCTATCGAGAAGTTCCTCCTGAACTAACTCATGACCAGTCTCAATGCAAACAACTGCTGGCAAATCCTGTTTTTTTTTAGCGTCGAATTGTAACCGGGGTAATAAAAAAAATTATCTATTTTCGTAATCCGAAGAAAAATCAGTGGCTTCGTTCCGATCAGACTTCAGAACGTGTTAAACAGGGATGTTTTGAACAGAAGGTCAGGTTGTGTCTCTGGCGGAATTTCGAGGGGCTGTTGCACTTTTAGCTTGTCCTAGATGGTCATGCTGGGAACGCTAAGTTTTATGCTCAACAACTGCAAAGAGAGTATATTACTTTGAAAGCCAGGCATTGGTCAATCGAAGACATGCACTCCTACAGCATGACAATTTTCCAGCACACACTGCCAATGTGACCAACCGTAAACTTGAACTTAAATTGCTGGAAATACTGTCCCAGCCAGTCTATAGTTCAGACTATGCACCATCAGATTACCAATTTCCCCTGTGGGTATGGAGTTTTATCAATGTGGATGAGGTTGAAAACGGATGCAGTGAGGGTTTTTTTTGTCTTTAAACCAGTCAAATGGTATAAGCGTGGTATTGGACTTCTGGCACAAATTTTGCAACAGACTAGAACATGATTGGATACATTTTGATGAATAAGCGCTTTTCGCATGTCATTTGTTTGAACTATTGAAGTTTGAAATATGAAAAAAATCGTTTGATTCAATCTAATATATAATATTAGATTTAATGAAAAATTTATACATACCTTATAAAAAAAAAACAATACCAATTCTTCATAGATACACCCTAAATAAAATCATCCTCCATCTATAATTAAACCTATACCTTTATCTATCGAAAAAGAATAAATACAAATTCAGAAAACTTAGAAAAAATTATTAATAAACATAATGCTAATATCTTAAACACTTAGACAAAAACCAAAGAAATTTAGACAACAATAAAAACAAAGAGATGAAAATAAAAATTATGTAACTGTAGAAATCCTCATAACTGTCCTCTACAAAATAAATGTCGCGCGGAATCATTAGCATACCAATGCAATATCTCATCTATTGAGAATACCGGAAACATAAAAATCTATATAGGTTGCACAAGCCATGAGTTCAAAAAGTGGTTCAATCAACATCAAACTTCATTTAGGATAAATAAATACAGAAATCAGACATTGCTTTCAAAGTATTTCTGGCACTTAAAAGAAACAAATAAAACAACTACAGTAAAATGGAAATTAATAAGAAAAGCTAGAATATGTAGGTCATTAAATGACCCATGTCTTTTGTGCATACATGAGAAACTATATATTACTAAGTTCATAAAAATAAAAATTTACTGCATCAGAGAAATGAAATAGCTATTTTTGCCGTCATTGTCAAAAATGTTCCTTAAATAATATTTAAAAATAAAATTTAAAAACAAAATTAAAAAATGGGAGCTGGTAATATACATACTTATGTTTGATATGAAAAAATAATTTTAAATAATATAAGTAATTCTATTTCATTTACTTGTTTTTAAAAAGAAATATAGTCTATTAGTAATTAAGAGTAAAAATAATTTAAAATTGTAGTTAAATAAAACGTATTCTAACACAAACACACCTAAAAAGAATCTTTAAGTATACAAGTAAGAAAAAAAATGCCGAAAAACTTTTTGCCGTTAATCAAAAAAGCCCAGAAGACATGCATTCAACAGATATCAGAATTCGTTGGAAAATACACTCCTTCCCTCCCTAAACTTAACCTCATAATTGATACAACAATAGTTAATAAATAGTTAATTGATACAACAATAGTTAATAAATAATGCCTGGCTTTCAAAGTAATATACTCTCTTTGCAGTTGTTGAGCATAAAAATTAGCGTTCACAGCATAACCATCTAGGACAAGCTAAAAGTGCAACAATAGTAAATAAATAGTTAACAATAGTTAATAAATACCGCCCCTGTCTGAACGATTAGATTTCTCTGTATCCTTGGAAACAGTAAATTATGAATTTATATGTGCGTTTAAAACTCAGTAAATTTAAAAATAAGTTATTCCAATATTTGCTTGAAGATGAAACGGAACTAATGCTTTTAATTTAATTATATAATTAAATTTAAAGTTTTAACCATTTTTTTGAAACATGGTTATTACTGTGTAGCGAAAAAACATTTCAATCAGTTAATTTATGATATATATATATATATATATATATATATATATATATATATATATACACACACACACGATGTGCATAAGAGAGGGGCGTGTGTTGTGGTGTAATGGACATCGGCTCGGAAATTCGCGCAGATATCCTTTGGAAAAGCATGAATTCATATCTTCTCATCTCAGTTACGGATTAAATAGCAGGAAAGACTGGGTCCTATAGCCTTGGGTGACGACCCGTCTACCACAGAAAGAAATGGCAACATACTGCAGGAAAATCTCTGCCTAGTCAGTCATGAATAGAAAGAGACATGATCGCCTGAGTGTGTATCACGTATGGCACACACACACACTATATATATATATATATATATATATATATATATATATATATATATTCGTATATGACGACATTTCAATTTACAAAATCACCTTTCACACCTGGGTGTCGTCTTATATCACAATTCTAAAATAGAAACTTTTAAATTCTGAGTGAGGTTTGTCGGTAAGCTCAATAACGTCCATGAAAATATTCACATTATCAAATAAACTCATAATAAAAGTAATAAAACAATTTCTACCTTAAATATTACTAGCATAACTTCATAATAAATTGCCTGTTCGAAGAATGATTCAGTATCAATGAAATCAACTTGTATCGATGCAAACTCAGCTGAGAAAATGTAAACATCAAG